GAGAGAGAGAGAGAAAAAGGGAAATCTTCATTTTTGAAAATTCACATTTGTTTCGAAGGTTGAGCTAGATTGTAATAGAACGTGGTAAAATCAAGTTCCCTTTTGAGGCTCAGCCCTAGCATCGCTTTTGAGACTGTGTACGTCATGTACATATACATTGTACTGCCTTTAACTCGCCAAACGATAGCATATCGAAAATTGCTTCGTGGTATTTCGCGAAATGGAAGTTGACGTCCCCGATTTCTCCCCGCCCCGGATTCTCGTTCTTTCTCTCTCTTTCTTTTTGAGCATTGTACTCTCGTACATCATTTATCTTTTGTGATTTTGAGATATTTTCATCCCTGTGTTATTTTTTTTTTTTTAAGACAATGCAATACGTGAGTCGTTCAAGGAAACACAAGTAAAGTAATGAAAATACTAAAATCATAATTTTCATCCGACAGTTCCGCCGGATATTTTGGATTATCCCACGAGTACAGATATGGTCGTAAGAGAAGGCAGCAACGTTTCGTTACGTTGTGAAGCAACAGGGTCACCAACGCCAAATATCACCTGGAGAAGAGAAGATGGAGAATTGATTATTCTCGGGAAGAATCAAGAAGGTAAATCACTTACATGCTTTTTATATATACAAAAGAAACAGTTTGCTAAAATAACTTATTGCCAGTGATGTTATCTTTAAAATCCTGTATACACGGAATGGCTTTATACAACACGTATGTACAATAATACCTCCTGAGATAGAATGTAATATTATATGCGTTATTTCGTATCTCGCGTAATTATATTTCTCTCGGGAAATTCAACTCTCGTGCTAAAATGAAAAGAAATAATTTTTTTGCAGCAATAACTACCCGTTCAATTGCTCGCGATATTCGTCGAATTTCTCGACATACTATTTTCCATAATTTGCGCGCGTAAAGCGCGTCAGGTGGCGCGAAAATTCTCGACCATTCCGACATCGACGTACTTATTTTATTCGTATCGCTCATCTTGAAAATCGCCGTAGGAAAAGCGCCTGCGCTCGCCCGCGCACGGCTGAAACACCGGATTCACTCAACGTGGGGACGACAATTTATCATTCCGCCTCTCGGACTTTATTCAGCCGACTACGTTGCGTGATGCAATTGCATTCGAAGCTGCCGATGCGACCGTGTCGGTGACGTCAAAGTGAAATATGCGTTTCAGCTCTTATGCGTCTCGCACAATAACGCCAAGGAAAATCGAGCGTCCTCGTTCGCACCTGTTCGTACAACGGTGACTTTATTCTACGGATACAATAACAATTTATCACCCTTTTGTCTTTCAAACTTATTGAGCCGTCCCACCTCTCCAGGCAGTTCCGTTAAATATTTGCTCTTCTTTGTGTGCATTTTATGCACCTGTCCCCACGCGGAGAGCCCCATGATAATTTATAAGGACGATTCTTTCATCCCGTTGATATTTTTTTACAATTTGACCTTGTTCTTTGCAGAGATGAATATATTCATTTTAACAACGTCATTTATTTTTCAAACAAACATTCAGTTTATGAAGCTTTTATATAAATATTTATTTTATTATTTTTTTTTTCATTATTTCAAAGTAATACGATCACATGAAAAATTCAATTCATAATGATAATTATACACTTGGTGCTCAAATAATCAGATTGATTTCACTTTAGAAAAGTAACGTTTTTCATTTTAATTTTTGATCGAGAAACAATAAAATAAAATAATTTTTATCGTAATCATTATGGCTCTTTTAAAGTAAAATTGATCTAATTATTTAATCATCGGATTATACCGTCATTAATAACAGTTATTTATTATTCACGTTGCTCTTATGATTAAATGATTTACGTGATTATCTCTTAATTTTTCATTTTGTTTTCAGTTTGTGTTAATACCATTTAAATACACCGCTTCTCATAATGATTCGCTTGACATGGATACAATATCTATTTATCATTCCTATTGTTTCCCAAAATTTATTGAACCGTCGTTTTGCATAATGCTGTTTTGCTGACAACGAAAACATTTATTCCGCTATGTGTGCAGTTTATTCACGCGCTTCATTTAATATCATCTGCCAACTGTTTCAAATGTCCTACTGTAGAAATTTATTACGCCTCCGTATACGTTATTTCACATTATTTCGATTATGACATATTTATTATCATTATATACGATATTATCTAATACTTCGTATTAATTTTGTTACTTCGTGTTCTCTCGTTTAATGACCGCATGCTTATTCGTCCGATTTACATTTATTTTCTCTTCGTTTATGCCTCTAGAAAGATCCAGACTCATTTTCAGTAGCGCGATAATCTTTTCATTTGCATGCGATTTTTCTCTTCTTTAACTTTTTTGATTTTTTAGTCAATAAGTAGTAAGTTCCTCTTTCGTAAGTTTCTTTCGTCTTCTTGTTTAACTTACGAACATGTACGCTTCTTTTGCGACCATGAAAACTCCCTCTTGAACTTCTCCATCGTGCTCGGTTTATTTCCATTTCAATCTTTACTCTATGCTTGAACGCTTCCATTTCTCTTCTCATTTTTATTTCTTAAGAAAAAGTCGATGTTTCCCTCTCGATTCTTCAAAGGTACCTTTAACGCGTGCTTCCCCCTCTTTAATTCACAAATATGACTCCTTGTCCGTGCGACTTTCTTGTTTCGATTTTTTTTTCGTCTTTGTCTTCTCCTCCATCCTTCCTCACCTGCTCTTGTGCTCAAGTTTTTTAACGTTCAGATACTGTTTCCGGCGCTCCATACTTTAATTAACGAATTCTTTCTTTTCCCTTCCTTTCCTGCACTCGCGTACTTTCCCATCCGGTAGTCTCTACCTTGCGATTACCGCGATCTCCCTTTTTTTTTTTTACCCTTCAAAGTCCCTCCTCTTATCCTAGTCTTTTTCTCATGGCAATCGCGAACAGTCACGACAATCCACCCTTCTCTCGACGCGCCCCGACTCCACGTATTTTGCCATCCTTTTTACTTACGAGCTCTTTTCGTTCTTCTGAGCGACCTTTTTCGCTCATGAGTAAACGCCCACACTCCTTCCGTCGTTCCCTCACGCATTCGCTCTCCATCACGGACGTCTGTTCTCGCTCGTGTATGCGTGAACAAAATCCCAGATAAACCGGCAAACCTATTTGCCGGAAACTGTCCGCAAATACTAGCGAGGAAAATAAAGTTTCACTGGTTGCGGGCTAGTGCGAAGTTTCGGAGACCTTTGTGCCGTTGATCGCTACAAGATACTTTCCAGTCTGCACTTTGCCAGCTTTCCCCCAAACTTAGCCAAAGCTGTTTTGGAGTATCTCGTTACGCACGCGTGCATTTTTATAATTTATACGCCAATAAATATTTATTGGTGGCTTGAGAAACGGAAATTGCCGCGAGGAAATATGGCAATATCAAAACTGCGTTGGGACAGCCAGTCATTACGTCGTGAATTATTGCAAATTTAATCCGCATATGCATTCATTACATCGAGTTCATAAATAGACTATTCTCTTGAATTAATATTAATTACCTAGATACTATCCATTTATACATAATGAGTATATAATCGATTTTGCATTGCCGAAGGTGACAATTTATATCTTCCGGTGTAATTCCGGAACTGAAGCAGCGCAGGTACTGGAGAAATCGCGAAATATTCGGCGACCAGTAAATTGCAACCGATTTAATTACTTCATTAGTCGAAAATGCCGCGTTAGCTTAATTCCAAAATCTGGTACACGGGGGAGTGTGCAAAATGTGAAATCTATTAAACGTAATTGGCGTTATCGATTCTTTTTCCCTCTGTATTTTTTTTTTTTTGCCACGGCAACGACGTATAAATCGGCACTCGCAACTAATTAACTGAAGAGCTCGCACGGCGGCTCTTACGGTTCCGACCGCTGCTCTACAGCTTATCTCGTATGCAGGTGATTTCAGGCCGAGTCAGCAGGCGTTTCAATAACATAAATCGCCTTGCGCAGAGATTAAACGGTGGAGCCGACAAAGTCGTTCTTCAACGACTTGAAAATTTATTTCCTCTAAAAATATCTTTTCGAGAATTTTTTTGTTTCGCAAAATATAAAAACATAATTTGCCTAAGAATTAATCTTTCTGATTCTACTATTGTAAATATTGTAAATACGATGTACTGTGAAAATTTGTGTATGTGTACGCGTGTGTACACGTGGGACGATCGTTTAGAAAAGATATGTTTGTAACTTTTTTGTAAATTTAGTGCGACGGTTTATCCAGGTATATTTCGCGAGCGAGGCATGAGAATGTAGGAACATGGAAGTTAAGGATAACAAGCGAATTCCAGGCCACGGATGTCAGTGCCATGGCAGTGACCGTAACGGAGAGTCGTATTCGGCTTACTTCTTAAAACTTAAGAAATGCAAGCGGACGACTCGTGGCAAAGACGCGACGTCTCCCAGTAGTGAGATTCCTTAAGTTCTAAATTTTACGGTGGACGTTTTGTTCCCCACGCGCGGCACTAATCTACATTTGTTAACTTCGCGGCTTACGAATCCTTCTGGCTTCCAGAATATCATGCTTTTTCACAAAAGCACAAATATATTCTAACTATTGTGAATAAAAAATATGATATGTTTCATTAACAAAACGCAGCTGCGCGTTCTCCAACGATCTCCCTTTCTCCAAAAAAAAAAGGGAACGAAAAGTTCATTCGATGTGCAGAATTCATTGGATTTTGATTTAAAAAAATTTTTTGCATTAAATTGAATTTATTTCGAGATTATAGCAATGATAACCATATTGATATTCGCGGTATTATATATAAACAATTAAAGTTATTTTTAAAATATTGATTGATTTTTATTCACAGTTATAATCTATTACTGCATTTAGCAACATTATTATATATTTTGTCGTAATAATCTAAAGAGAATAATGTCCGAATCCGAATGATATTTGGCATTACCAAACGACACATTCATAATATTCGTAACTGAGAATCCGTGTAAGATGTACACCGATAAGAACCCTTCTCGGCAAGTGTTTCGCTTAGGATACAGGGTAGGTTTTGCGAATAGCGTGTACGAGGCATGTAATGTTAACGGAGATTAGACCACGGCGGCAAAAACGACAGGACGGTGATTAGTATCGGTTACGCAGTACTGCGAAGCAACGTACTCGACGTGTATTAATTCGAATCCCGATTGTGGAATTTTTTGGTCGGGACTGATGAAAACTTCTTGTCGATGCACTAAATTTGTGTTCTACATCCTTAAACGTGACTTAGGATCCAAATATTTACTATTTATTTTATTAGAATGTAATACATAATAAAATATATAAAAATATAAGAAATAAAATCTAATTTAATTTATTTTAATTTATTAATTGGCATTAATAGTATTTATTCGCTGTACTCCGCGATTTGAAATGGCTTAAACTATCTGTCGTAGTGGCCAGCATTGACGGACCGGTTTTCAATATCACAAAAGTGAACAGGTTGCAGATGGGAGCATACCTTTGTATCGCGTCCAATGGCGTACCGCCAACGGTCAGCAAGAGAATTATGCTCGTTGTACATTGTAAGTAGCTACTTCAGAAATGTATTATCATAGTTTACATTTGTGAACAATTTTATATCATTCTTTTTTTCACGTTTGTCTCGATGTTAACAGTTACTCCAATGATTTGGATCCAGAATCAATTAGTGGGCGCTCAAGAAGGCCAGGAAATGACATTAGAATGTCACTCTGAGGCATTTCCAAAGTCCATCAATTATTGGACGCGAGAGAACAACGTCATTATAGCAAACGGTATGTTTGTAAAGATAAGACAGTTTATTTCAATAAAAATAGATATTTTTCCGATTCTAATTTATATCTATATATAAATAAAATAAGAACATAAAAACTTATGTAAATTAAATCTGGCTAACTTATAAAAAGATTGCGAATAAAGGTGAACAAGGGGAATATTTAAAAAAATTCGAAAAATTGGAGTATCATATTCGGCACAGAGAAAAGCGGAATCGATTGAAATTACGCAACGGTAACGGTAATTAGAGAGAGCCCGCCAGCAATGACGACATTAATTCGTTCAATGACAGGCTAATTCTTCCAACATCAGTAATAATTGCAACAGCAGCAACAATAGCAATGGATCTATAGATCCCCACTTCCACACGCCGCTCTCCATGCTCGTTCCTACCATAATTTAATGAATGGTAATCGAACTCCGCTTCGGCGACATACTTAACCCCATGCTTTACTAGCCGACAACGCATGGTCACAGGTTTGGTTTGCTCATCGAATCATTTATGTCGGTACGCCAGAAATTAAAGGCCGTTACAAACGGTTCGCGTTTTGGCAAACCTATTTACTAACGGGAAACTAGATTTCGTTACTCGAAATACTCGTATAGAGCTCGAAATATTTCAGAAAAGGAATGTGTACGTTACTGCTGTATCATGTAATCAATTTAGTGACGAATAATACAACCAGTCCTCGACTTTATTTAGGAACGTTGGGAGATAATTGTGAGATAATTTCATTAACATAACAAAATATATATATATGTTGATGAAATTATCTCACAATTATCTGCCAACGTTCCTAAATAAAGTCGAGGACTGGTGTGTGTGTGTGTGTGTGTGTGTGTGTGCGCGCGCGCGC